AGCACCTTTTTCACTCTCTGATAGGCAGCCAGGCCTTTTTAAGTCTATAATTGGTCTGGTGAGACTTGCCTATTTTCCCAGCCTGCTAGCATCTCTGTTTAGGGCTAAAGGAAGGCTTGCCTCCCCATGAACCTGAAGTATGGAAAAAAAGAAAGGAGGACAGAAACGAGTCTGTTTACCCACCTGTTTACAAACAGGTGGGTAAACAGGCTACCAGAGGAGAAAGGCTGCTCTGTAATGATACATGAAAAGAACATAAACACTTGTAAGTGCGAAAACTTGGTGGCTGATGCTTAATTTCAGTTGCCCGTTTCCTTTGATAATGATTCCAGTGATTTGACCTTGCCAGCAAAAAAACAGTGTAAACGATAGAACATTTCACTTATTGCCTCTTTGTTTGGTAACATTTCTGCCATAACTGCAGGCGTTCTCCAACAAAGTGTAGCTGTGTTAGCCCCATAAAGCCTGAAATATGAAACAATTGCCAGAAAATTCTTAAATTTCATATCTGACTTTTAATTTTGCGACATTTTCTTAAAAAGTTGCTTAAAAATGCACGGTGTTGTTTATTCATCACACTGATGAAGTAAAAGTCTCAGAACCTCTCAAAAAACTATACCAAATATGACATACTTGTTGTTAAGTTACAGCTTTTAGGCACCAAGTATGTTGTTGGAAAAAAAATAATAATAATCACGAAATTTAGAATTTTTCCAATGTATAAACAAACCAAAAGCATTTTTTTAATGGGGGGGGGGAACGCAGTGTGAAAAAAATAAATAAAGTCAGCATGAAAAGATGATGAGCTGGTCCGGATGTTTCTAAACAAGAAAAGGAAGACACAGAGATTCTGGGCCGGAGCAGTGTCTAGCTGTCTGTCTGAGGTTAAATACTATTATTTTTCTATTTGTATATTCAGTACTGTGTTTTGAGTGCACTTGTTGCCAAACGCATTGGTCTGATTGGTCAGAATTGTTTATTCAGAAAAATCAAGCTTGGTCCAACGAAATAAATTCTGCAATTTAATCAAGTGAAATCACGAGATCTGTGTGTGTGAACAGCTGCATTAAGAATAGGTGAGTGCAAAAAATATTTTCAATGCACATAATATTTGCATGAATTTGTGTCTTCAGATCTGTGTGGCAGTGCAAAGTGTGGAACCTCTGTGGTATCTTTTTTCCCAAGACATCAGGCACGCTGCACTTAATGTTTCTGCATAACTAAAAGTGGTATTACAAGATTTCCACAAAAAATGCATTCCTTAGTATTTTCCTATAAGATCCATTCATCTTTACAGCTTATAGGTTCATTTGACAAAAGCTGACTGACTTTTTGGGAACTTTCCAGAATGCACAGCTCCACGTTTGGTGAAAACCAAACATCAGCTGTATCAACACCTCCTACCAAAAGCCAGCACGGTGGTGACAGGGTTATGATTTGGGTTCTATAGCATATTAAATATTACTTAAAGTTCATGACAGTACAGTGAGCAGAAGACTGAACAAATATGGAAGCTTGGAAGGGTTTCAAAGAGAAAGTTTATTCTTGTTGAAAAAGAACATGGCAGTACAGTAGGGGTGGGCGACTGGAAGAATATATCGACTATCGATCATTTTTACACAGATCATTTATTTATTTATTTGCCCATGAGTACGTTTGCTAATAACGATGGAGCTAATAGACGCAGCCAACAGAAAAAAAAGCAAGAAAAAAAAAAGCTCTGTTTTATCCCTCTCACATCTGCGAGCAAATGCACGATCTCAGAGTGCGCCCAAATGCAGCGATTCATTTACTCAAGCTCATAAGAGAAAGAAAGGCAGCAGCCTATGTTCAGAAAAAAACATTTGGATGGTGGATACGTACAAGCTTATGCAAGTTAGTCGTGTTTGAGTCCTTTGCTCGCACTATACGTCTGCACAAGCGCCACACCGCTTTGATTACATCCGGTTTAAAGCCAAAGAAATCCAAATTGGCTACTTTATTTATTTAGTTTTTTTGGGCAATTAGAAGCAGTCCAAACATGGATGAACTATGTTGTAAATGCACAAATCAGTCCGTGCATGATTACATTGCTCCGTCCATCAAAAAGTCTGCGCAACCTCCCAACCCTCCAGCTTAGGCTTGCAAAGATGAACAAACAACTAAACTTATGGAAAAATGTCCACCAAAGTGGAGATAATGTATAGTGCTACTTTTGGCCAAAAGACATATCAGCATAAACACCTCATACTAACTGTCAAACACATGTGAAGGGGTGATGATTTGGGCTTGTTTGGCAGTCACAGGACCTGGGCACCTTGAATACACTTGAGTCAAATGTGAGAGTCCGAACTTCTACCTGATTCATATACTTGAAATGTGACGGGACCTTAAGAGAGCTGTGCATAAATGAATGCCTACAAACCTCAATGAAAAGAAGCAACACGGTCAAGAGGAGTGGGTAAAAATTCTTCCACAAAGATGTGAGAGGCCGAAAAAGCCGTGCTGTTAAAGTTATTGCTGGTAAAGGTGGTGAGGCAGCTGAACAAACCTGATGAATGTAAGTCTTTCAACTTACCGGCTGACATTTGACTGGTGCAGCTTTGAGAGCAAATATTAATTATTATCCAAGGCTAGAAAAGATAAGGAGAATAATTGTGTGCAAATTTGAAGCCTGATAAAATGTTCTGACTTTTCAAACTGGAATGAAAAAGGGGCTGCAGAGAGTTGTGTGAAAAGCTTTTCTTTTCGCATGACCGTATTTGCCAGCTAGATATTAATTGGCCAGCAAGTTCACAAAGAAACTTCAGAGCTTTTTTTTTCCTTTTTCCTAGAAACAAGTTGTCTCCTGCATTACTGGAAATGAATATGCTGAGAGTTGTGAAAGAGAGCAAAAGCTCTACTAACAATCAATACAGAAAAAAACCCAAAGTTTAAACAGTGCTGACACATTTTGATTTTGTTTTCATGTGAAAATGTCTCCAAAGGAATAAACCCTGCAGCTGGTCAGTAAATTCCTAAAAGGTCACAGAAAATCACAGTAAAAGAAAGAAAGAAAGAAACAAACAAACCCCCAACATTGTGTTTAAATAAATGACATAATTTTACATATTAATTTCAACCTGTCCTGAACCGTGCTGCCCAGAGAACATTCCCTCCACCTCCCACCTACGTGCGGTCAGGGATAAAGTAATGATCTATCAGCACCAAGACTACCACCCACTGTAACCTGACCATTAAGTGGGCCCTGTTTAGTTCACAGGTCACCCAGGAGGACCACTCGCAGCTAGGCGCTTAACACACAGGACTGGGTAGGAGACACTAATTAGGAGAGCTGTGTATGTATGTGTGTGTGTGCGTGCCTGATTGAAAGAACCAGAGCACAGAGACAAAAGCAGGGAGATAATATACAGAAGAATAGGATCTGCACTTCTGTGCGTATGTTTGTGTGTGTGAATGCAAAGAAACATACATATCAGGCCCCCTAGGATAATGCGTGGCATGGTATGTTTTTAATTGGGCTATTAGCTATGCAGCTGAGCTCTAGAGCGATGCTCCCTGTCAGACACTGAGGGGTTAACAACTGGGGTTAGCCTTTGAGGTTCAAAGACCTCTTGTTTACATTTGACTGAGTTGCTCCAAGGGGTGGGGGTGGG